AGATTCGCTGCGAGTATGACTCGCAGATTCATAGCATAGTAAGAAACTTTGCGTAAACTTCTGCTCGATCATCCACGAGGATGAACCTGGTAAGGTGCGGAGAGGAGGAGATTCTGTTTCTGTGGAATAGGTGAGAACAGAAAAGGACCGAGATAAGAGACGCGACGCGTCTTTTAATATCGCCGATGCTAAGAGTTTTCGAAGGGCGTGCATAGAGCCGCTAGATTCCGCTGATTGACTGACTGACACGCGGGCGGTAAAGGGACCGTGGAGGCCAAAAAGCCAGACAAAGGGAAAACTCGAGGATAACGGTCGAAGATAGAAAAGCAGAGCAGAGAGCAATCTCTTACGCTCGAGTTTGCTCCGTGCAGAGAACATCCCCCTCCCCGATCACTCCGAATAATCATCGCGAGACACAGTCAGCTTTCTCGCGTCACTGCATCTGCGAAAATGAGGGATGCCTGAACCTCGCCAAAACAACGTATTCGGGATCACGCGAATCGGTATTCATACCAACTGAATTTCGATTCACTAGTAAATCTCGAAGGATCTGTCGATCAATGTATTTGCAAGAGGATAACGATGATTTATCAGATTCTGCTATTAATCCTATCATTCTATCATCACCGTCGTAAAAGGATTCCAGTGTTATCGATTGTTTCTCTTTCAGAATTCGACCATCCTGTGCGGAACTCAACGCCCTGTTTGCAATATACTCGGACCAATCTAATTCGGTATATAAGTGTTCGATGCTAACTGCAAACTTTTAAATTATTCTCCTTATTCAACTTCGTCTTTCGAAAATCGTAATGCACAACGTATCCGTGACACACAAAATCTACGGATTAATTGAATACGTAACTAGAAGTCGAATTGAAAAACAGCGTTGAGCAATGAAATGTCGAGGAAAGAAATTTCGTTCGTTTTGGGAATTAAACGAACCAGGTTATGGAAATTATGCGAGTGGATGGAAAACGCGCATGCATCTACTAATAGAATTTCATGTTCGTGCAAGTTGTCACGAAAATTGATTACGTTTGATTTTGAATTGCAATATTTCACATTCTACAGTCTTTTTAACAGGGTGAAAAAAGTGGAATTGCAGAAACGTGGAACAGTCCTTATAGAAAAGTATGTATATGTAAGAGAGCGGCAAATGGCGAATCGAATTTGAAAAACTCCCGCACGGAAAGTGCTGACAAGGGCGTCGTCACGAACCTTTTAAAGCTCTCTCTGTTATCCTTGGCGAGCTCCCGAAGGACACTCTTATCTTCGGGCTGTTGTTTGCTTTGTGGATCTTAACAGGGTAACGTTCGCTGCCAGAAACGATCCACGAGAAATTCTACATTGGCGAGTAACCGGCCGACGCGACGCGAAGGGACAAGTAGTGAAATAACAAGACCGAAATGCACGAGGGTGAACGCTAGTAACGTGGATGAAGGGAGAGGACGCGCATCCCGGAGAAAATGAGAGAAACGAGTACGACGATAGAGAAAAGCACGAGAGGAAAGAGACACGAGGATAAGACGACAATCCGGTGCGCAAATGCCAGCGGGATTTAGATCGGACGTCTCTAATGGCAGCAGGATTTCAATGGCAAATGGCACCTGCCAGATCTTCGCCACTTGTTTGGTCAAAGGATTTGTAAAATCTGCAGAGATATCCATGTGGATAGTTATATCGCTTGTAGAAGATATCGGCTAGTAGAAAGAGGAATAAAACCACCTCATTATTTTAATACGATTGTAAGTAGTGAATCCGATGAAACAATAAGAATTGTCGTAAGACAATGAGAAAATCAAAACAGAGAACCAATGGACAATAGAAACAATCAAGACGAAAAACTGATGCGTAATTTTTCATAAATTTCTACAGTGTAAATCTGTGTAATGTCAATCTTTTCGGCGGTCAATCATTTGCTATCTGGCTAGGCCAACCTGATGATAACCTATCATTTCTTACAGTTATCATTTCTATGTATATTTTCTTCGCCGCTTCCGTCTTGTATCATGTCCCAAAGATATCTTTTCGCAGTTATCGTGAAAAAACGAAGACAAGAAAGAGCAGAAAAGATCACTAACAAATCTTCGGATCAGCAACTGTAACGTGTCACGAGAAGAGAATTCCTAACGATACAATCGTGAACAAACATTGACTAGTTTTCCGTTATGAGGATGGAAGCAACATAACGACGCGACAACATCGAAGAATCTCGGACGATCTTGGACGATCTTGGACGATCTTTGCGTGCCGATCA